CAGCTTCATTCCCTCAATCCTGTAAAGCTAAGCACCTTCCAACTGGCATTCCAATACCTTCCTAAGCTCACTTCTTTGTTGCTACCTCCCAGACTGTCATATCAATGCCTGACTCGCCATAAGCTCTTCCAATCTGAGCATGTGTCAAGCTATTCCCCCAAAGAAAAGTTCCGTGGTTTACACAGTTCTCAATATCATTTCCTGTCAATTTAGTTTCTCATAGACGTATATTTCTTCCTTCCTTTGCACCCTGTATGGGTCTAAACCCCTACCATGGAGTGGATAAAAAATAAGCCTCTTACAATAGACTAAATAATGCTTAAAGAGACCACAGCAGAGGCTGGGTTAGAACTGGGGCATCCGAATGTCATGTTGACTTTCTTCATTCTTATTCACTGTACAAAATACAAAAGTATTGCTGAAGCTCACTGTACCTCTCCACAGAATTACTGTTAATTTTGGTTCTTCCGTGGTTTAAAAAAATGCATGGAAGGAGGCAGTGATGCTGGACTAGGAAGCAAATGCTGGACTAACAGGGGTTCACTTGTATGTGTATTAAATTTCTGCCATTTTCTGGATTCAACTTGTGAAATTCTTCTTTTTAACAAAATATATATTTTATTCAAATTGTTCAGTTGAAGTCTCTATTACCCTTGTTAACATAGCAAAATTTAACTATTTCTCCATTAAATGAGAAGTAAAGACAAACAACTTATCAAAACTTACGATATTCATTATTATTGTTCTATCTCAGTATTGCTATCATTCTTTTAGCATCTACCCACAAAACTGTTATACCCATTCATTTAGTATTATACACCTCACTACCATAATGACTCATTATTATCATATCTTCCTATAATAATCATTTATTATTACATCCCATTTCACTATTATAATCATTGTTTTATTTATTTACTTATTTGTTTGTTTATTTACATCCCAAGCATATTCCACTCCCTCCTCTCCTCCTGATCCCCTTTTCCCTGTATCCCCCTCTCCTCCTCCTCAGAAAAGGAGAACCCACACACACGTACCTACCCATCCCAGCACATCAAGTCTTATCAGGACCTTATCCTCTACCACAGTGGCCTGTCAAGGCAACCCCTCCAGGAGGAACTAATCAAACAGCCTGCAAGAGAGGCCTTGTCAGAGACAACCCCCGCTCCCCTTGCCAAGGGGCTCACATGAAAACCAAGTTGTCTATCATGTACATATGTGTAGGAGGCCTAGGTCCAGTCCATACATGGTTCGTAGTTGGTGTTTCAGTCTCCACAAGCCCCCCTGAGCCCAAATTAGTTGGCTCTGTTAGTCTTCTTATGACCATCCTGTTCCCTCCGGGGTCCTCTTATCCTTCCTCCTACTCTTCCACAGGCTCCCTGAGCTACACCCAGTGTTTGGCTGTGAGTCTCAGCATCTATTTCAATCCGCTGTTGGGTGGAGCCTCTCAAAGGACAGCCGTGCTAGGCTCCTGTCTGCATGCATAGCAGAGTGTTGTTAATAATGTTAGGGGTTGACTCTCGCCCATGGTGTGGCCAGGCATGGGTTGCACATTCCCTCATTCTCTGCTCTGTATTATGATCATTGTTACCACACCTCACTATTATGGCCATTCATAATTACTATTCTACTTTATTAACATAACCATTTATCACTATTTTGATTATTGTACTTCTTCACCGTTATTATGCCACCTCATCAGTATTATAGTTTGCCATAATTATGCATGCTATACATGCCGCTTGAAAAGAAAAGTCATCAACAGTCTTAACCAGCTATGAGCCCTACAAGCTACAGTAACAATTGTCCTGGAAAGATTTTGCCATTAGTAAAAAGATATGGCCCCCACATTACAGAGGTTGCAGAGGTCACCAAACACTCTCTAATTTATTCAAGGCCTACTGATAGAATGGAATTCATATCTGGTACTGCAAACCTCACCAAAAACTCATAGTTGGATATGTCATCAGCTTTGGGGTGGAACCTGCTATTAATATTTTGGTACATGGTATCAAACTGCCTTCTCAACACTATCTTTACACCCGTAGATTGTGCAGCTCTTAGAAGAGCCTAAGCCTGGGGAAGACTGCTGCAAAATAGTGTCATCTGGACATGGCAGGGTCGCTGCACTCATAAACTCACAGCAGCTGTGGCTGCCTACACAGTATCAACACAAAAAGAACAGAGTCAAAATTCACCATGAGCTGGGGAGGGGATCACGAAGCCCCATCCTTGGCTGACATAGTTGAAGCCTGCTGAGGTAGGAAGAGTCAGTTTCTTCTGGGCTGTGACCCCCTGGTAGATTTCCCATCTTCCAAGGTGTGATGCTACATCTATGAGCATATAGGAAGCGCTTGAGCTCAGGGGTGTGTGTGTGTGTGTGTGTGTCTGTGTGTTTGTGTGTGTGTGTGTGTGTGTGTATGTGTGTGTGTGTGTGTGTAATGAGAAAATATCCAAGGTTGGGATACCACCAAATGTGAAATTTGGCAGAGGAGGAGTTGGGAAATGCAAGTGGATATCATTAAAATTCATGTATACATGTATAAAATTCTCAAATAATACAATAAAATACCATTTTTAGTTTACCAATACCTAAAGTCCAGAATCTTGTCTCTATTATGATGAATTCAATAGTTACTTTTATTGCTTCAGAAGAAATTTTTGTTGTTTTTTTTTTTAAGTCCCTTTCAGACCCTTCAAGTCATCCTAGTTGAACCACAACATCTGGGGTAAAATTGCATCTGCTGCATATGACAGGGAAGCTGAACCTGCGAACATGCAACAATATGGCCACATGCATGGTGATGGCACAGGTGACATCCCAACACAGACAGAAGAAATCTCACCAGGCCCCAGCCCTAAACGAGGTAATGACTAAGAGAGTGAGAATAAGTTTTCTGAGAATGAGCACCTAATCCAATACCAAATGGTCAGTCTTAAAAAATACATATGAGCCACACTAAATGAACTCAGAAGGTTGATTTAGGTATTTATACATATATGTATACACGTTTAACAATAATAATTAGTGAACAATAAGACATGAATTTGAGAGGGAACAGAGAGGGAAACCACACAGGACTGGATGGAGGAAGGGGCAGTAATATAAACACAATACACATATAGGAAATTTTAAAAGCAATTTTTTAAAAACATGTCTCAGTGGATAAAAGCACTTGACTCCAACCTGATGACCTGAGTTCAATCCCTGGGACCCCCATGGTAGAAAAAGAGAACCAGCTCTCACAAATTATTTTCTGACACCACACATGAGTCATAGCACATGTGGACACATGAACACACATATGAATAAATAAATGTAATACAAATTTTAATCCCTTTACTTCTTTATTTTGTCCTGATATTGAGCCCAGTAAGGTGCTTTTGGTGTCACTGAAATTCTAGGTAAAGGACAAATTTCTTTTCATGAGCCATGCTTTCTACTGTCAGTTAATCTACAAACTACGTGAACTTCAACTATCCACCAGCATTCTTCTGGGTGTCTGGAGGACACACTAAGGTGGAAGATTTAGATCCTGACCTTCAGAACCATATCATCTCATTGGGGAAAAAAAACAAAAAAAAATGCTACAATCAATACAGAAATTATTATCATGGTATCTTGCTGTGTGCACCATGCTCTAAGCAAAGGGTCACAGGACTCACTTCTGGGAGATTGTGGTTGAGAGGTGAAGACTGGGCCGAGGGGCACTGAAGGATGGAGGCCTTACATCTTGCAAAGATCTAAATTTTAAATGACAGGAAGAAACTCATGGCCTTTGGATGATAAATCACGATGCGGCACTTAGTACTGTGGGTAGCAGCAATTAGGGCTGGGAGCATAGGTCTCAGGGGAGTGAGGAAAGAGGCTGACTATGGAAGGAATCTGGACAGGAGATGAATATGACCAAAACACATTGTGTGAAATTCTCAAAAACTCAATACAAATATTCTTAAGTGTGGCTAAAAAGCATTCAAGCCAAATGCTAGCAGAGCCCATTAGCTACTTGGCTTTGGAGAGTGCTAGTGGATACAGCTTGCTTGAAAGCTGTTTGCCTGGGACCTATCCTCAGTTGCCCTCCCTTCATCAGACAGCTAGTAAACATACCAGTAAGATCACTCCTACTTGGCTTTCTGGTCAGAAAGTGGATGGAAGAGTAAGTGTGAGAAAGATTAGTCGAGAATTCAGTCCCACTGGCAGCACCTGCCTTGATTTCAACCAGCTGTGAGAGTCCTGCATTCCGATGCTCAGTCACCAATAGAAGGCAACAAGGTCTCCGAGTTTCCCTTAGTAACCGCCCCTGCTTACACACACCCTACGCAGGCATATTAAGGAGGATGTTCAGTGCGCGTCAATGCATTTTGTTATCAAAAGCAAGTACTACTACTTTCTAGTGCTGCTTCTCAGAGGAAGAAAACGTGTCACTCTTTGGTGGGGGGTTGTGAGAAGCTGCTCCTGCACTAGCAGGGAAGTGTGTTGGGTCTCATAAGTTAATCAGAAAGTGAACGTGGTTGTGAAAGAACAGGTCTAAGAATGTGACGGCAGGATGGTCCAAGTGCTTCTCAGACAGCAAACACCAGTTTGACTTCACCCTTGATCTATTTTTTAACATGGGTTCCTTTAAATAAATACATTAGTACCAATATAATTCTTAGATAGAGGAGGCCAAACAGCTGTTTTTATTTATTAACATTTTAAGTAAAAGTCGTTTGGACAGTAAAAATACACAAAATAGTTTATCTCCTGTTTCATAATTCATGTTTTAATTTTCTTCCCTCTGTATTTAATATAGTTTTATAAATAACTTACATGATCTTTTATCAAACTTTCTCCAGGTCCAAACTATATTCTACCTTGACTTGTACTATGCAATTTCTTCCCCTCCTTAGACCCAACTGTGAAGATTTCCTCCAATTGTGCACACTTGAGCTTCCAGTATGAGAATGCCAAAGATGTATGTAAGAATGGCAGGACGTTTTGATAGTCTTGCCCTGTGTTCTCAGACTGACTGCCGCTTTCCTGTCAGCACCCGCTTCAGGGCGCCCTGCACATCTGGGTTCCGGAGGCTGTAGATAAGTGGATTTAGCATAGGGCTGAGGATGGTGTTGAGGATCCCAATGCCCTTGTCCTTGTCGGAGGCTGAGACAGAACCCAGGCGCATGTAACTGAAGAAGCCAGTTCCATAAAAGATACAGACCACAGTGAGTTGGGAGCCACAGGTGGAAAATGCCTTCTTCTTCCCCTCAGCAGAGCGGATCTTTAGTACTGCAGCTGCCACGTGGGCATAGGACACTGAGATGAGGATCATAGGGACCACTCCCATGAAAGTAGCTCCCACAAAAAGCAGCTGCCCGTTGAGGTAGATGCTGGAGCAAGAGAGCTGGAAAAGGGGTGGGAGGTCACAGTAGAAGTGGTTGACCACATTAGGGCCGCAGAAGTCCAGCACAGATACAGCCACTGTGTGGGTCAGAGCATTAATGAAGGAGATAGTACGGCAGATACCCACCAGGGAGCCCTGCACTTCACGGCTCATGCGGGTGCTGTAAGTGAGGGGCTGGCAGATGGCCAGGTAGCGGTCATAAGCCATGGCTGTCAAGAGATGACAATCCACGCCCGCCCGGAGGTGGAAAAAAAATAGCTGCGAGATGCAGGCAGCATAGGGAACTCTGCACTGATGGGCCAGGAGACACACCAGCATTGGCGGAACAGTGACGCTGATGCACCCGATGTCCAACAGAGATAGATTCCCCAGGAAGTAGTACATAGGAGTGTGGAGTTTGGGTTCCACAAAGATGGCAGCCAAGATGCTACGGTTACCCCCAACTGTGACAATATAGGCAAAGAGAAAGACAACAAAAAGGATAGGTTGCAGTCTTGCGTTTCCTGTTAGGCCAAGAAGGATGAATTCAGTGACAGTTGTCCTGTTTCCCCAGGCGCGTGGCTCCATAGGCCACGGCTGAGGGCTGGAGGGCAGAGCAGGAAGAGTTAGGTATCACAAATAGTAGCACACGTGAGCGTGCAATCCAGTCCCTGCAGGATGCTGATATGGTGTGTGCAGAACACCTCCCAATTAACGTCAGTCCCTGCATAGAGTTTGCCAGTCTTCTGAAAGCTCCTTTGACCAAATGATCAACATTTTTAGGTCCTTGTTCAAGGAGAAAGCCAGAGAATGCTGGAAAAGGGGCTGGCTGGTGGCTATTTACCAACATGGTATGCAAGCATTTCAATACTACCATATCTGTTGCATTTTGTCTCAGTGCATACACCTGCCTAGCATCTCTCACTGCCCCAATGAATGCATGAGTACACGAGGTTCTAGACAGCACACCATATGGATAAGAGCAGCGTAAGATGAAAGAGTAATAAGAAAGTTCTCATGAACTCAAAATAGAATTAACGAGTTTGAGAAAAGAGAAGAGCAAGAAATGAGCCAAAGTATAGAAACACAGAGAGGTAAGACTAGAGCTATGATTGACATTTTAAAAATACTAACATTTTGATGTATTGTCTATAACGCTTTTTATTTTATTTCATTAAATTCTGTAAAGTTACTACTGTGTCTCCGTGTAATCAGGACACTGATGCATAGAAAGATTTTATAAGCACCCTTAGGCCCTAAAGCTCCTGAGAGCTAATGCAAACTCAAGACTGTCTGGCACCAAGCACACAGGTATTGCTCAGACATGTGGTCTGCTGAGGCTTTGTGGGTGGTGCTGTGTATAATAGAAAGAGGAGTGATGCTCTAAGACTTTCAGCATTGGCCTCCACACAACTCTTCTAGGAAGTCAGGGGCCCGTCCACTTCCCCTCATTAATAATTACTTGTTGAATGTTAAGGAACTGTGCTAATGGTGGCACTAACAGTCGAGATGAAACTGTTACACAGAGAAGATGAAAGGATGGCCCTAAGTCCTGTGATGAGCAACCAAAAAGATGGAGTTGATGCTGTGTATCATGGGGAAAGGTGGCTATTGTGTGCCTGTGTTTGGGAAGATCAGGAGCTTTTCAAAGGCAAAGGGAGAATTGGAATCCTAGGAGACAATTTCCCTGGCGTCCAGTCTACCACATACGGTGATAATCCCAAACTGGATGGACAGTTGAGAGGAACCAGAAATCAAAGGTCCTTCAGTTATGACTACAGAAAGTAGCTCTGGAGCGGTTTCTTTGTGTGTCCCTGCTTCTGTACCCTTGCCTGTGCCGGGCCACCTTCTCTCTGTAATTTTACTTACACTTTTTTTCTATCAAAAATAGTGTCTCCTCCACAGATTAAAACAAAACAAAACATTTCTTGGGACTCAGTCCTTGGCTATTGTTCCATGTTTTCAAGGAAATTCTCCTTGCACGACCCAGTCTTCAGTTGAGTTTTCTCTCCTGTGGCATCACAGGCTATTAACCTGATCATTCTGTGCTTGACCAACAGCCCAGGATGAGCCATGCAAAACTCGCAATTCTAGATAAAGAATATAGACTATGCTAATGGGCCACCAAAGGACAGTGCGGTGCTCCTGCACCCCCACCAGTCCCATCACCTCCATCTTGACCTTTTCTACAAAAACCATTGACTAACCATGAAAAAGGTAAAGCTCACAAAACTTTCAAGATCACACATGTCAGAGTTTGTTCTGAGTAGAGACTTTACTCTTTTTCTCCCAACTCCTGCTGACTCACAAGGTCCCTGCCATACATAAAGGAATGTATGGATTTTCCCTTCCCTCCCAGTCATCAGAGGGGAAAAGCTTATCCTACATGTCACTGCCACTTCCTGAATATATCATCACTTGATACTTTCTCACATATAGACAGTAGAAAGGTCACCTGAAGTTCATGGATGTCCTTCTATGTGTCCTTACTTGAGAAGGAAGAAAAATAGGGTGGCTGGAGGGGCAGAAAGGACCGAAATGCACTTACCTCCCTGTGGTACCTGGTATGGTTCCTGCAGATAGTTGAGTAACTGCCTACTTGACCCAAGGTTGTAAGGATTCATAAAGCTTATTTTAAAAACTGAGCTGAAAATATGTCTTGGTGTTCTCTCCATCCAGGAACTAATCAGTATCCAGAGCTGGTAATAACACAATTTCCCAAGGGTTTCAAAAGAGCCAGAGGAAAACAACTTCAGTCCACAAGGGTTTCTCTCCACCACCCAAACAAGCATTCTACTGATGACATCGTCACAACCTCCTAATCATTTCAACAAGGAGGAAAGATGGCACCATATTGAGACATCAGAGTACAAGCTAAAGAGCTTTGATGACTTGCTGAGTCCACCATATAGAGCCATGGTTGGAGCTCAACCTGGACTTCAGATAATCACTGAGACCCAGTGATTATTTCACTTAATTTTCACATAGTTAAGATATAATTTCAGAAAGTTGGCTCAGTTTTTATGCAAGTTTAATCATACACTTTATGAGTTTGATAGAATATGCAATCATAGCTCTAGCACTTCCTCAATATACATGTTTTAGTTATTTCTTACAATTCACAAGAGGTTTTTTTAAATCAACACCCTCACCATACCACAGCCCTCAGCAATATCTTATCTGACTTCTGTCCCTATGGTTTTGCCCTTTTAAATTTGGAAAATAACTGTAGGAAAGGATACTGGTGTGCTATCTTTCTTCACTGAACAGCTATCCTATTATACAGATATAGTATAATTTGTTTTGCTCTTTACCTATTGTATGCAATGTATGGCTCTTTATCATTCATGAACATGTGGTTATTTCTAGATTTTAGCCATTACAAATGTATCCAAATCTTTATGTAGGCCTATGTATTCATAGAAAGGAAAATACCTTGATCTGTAATTACTGGAATCCATGCATAAATGTATATTTAATATAAGAAATTATCAGGGCTGAAGAGCTAAGTCCATGGATAAAGCACTTACTATGCAAGTGTAAGAACCTGAATTTGAATCCCCAGAATCCATGTAAAAACTAAAATGGTATGGTAGCCTGATTGAATGTCAGTGCTCAGGAGGCAGAGACAGGGATTCCCAGAGCACACTGGTTAGCTACATCAGCCAAATCAGGCTGGTCTGCATTCAGTATCCTGTTTTAATAAAATAGAGAACAATCAGGAAGACACCTAACTTCAACTTCTGTCAGCCACATATGCACCCACAAACATGAGCACACATCTGTGATGTGAATAAATCACACACACACACACAACTCATCTGCTCAGTTGTCCAAATTGGTGATGCCATTTTTAATTCCCACCAAAAATGCACTTTCATAACACCAAAAGATGCTGTACAAGATTCCAAGGAAGAGAGACAACCAATGGTTTTACACAGCTGCAATACCTCTGAACCACAATACTAAGGATGGCAAGATATTCCTAATAGTGCAATAGTGGTATTCATATCTTGGCAGTAACCAGCAGCTGTCTAATTAGACTTAAAGCCTGATCAATAGATGGGAAACCTTTCCCGGTACTTGAAACCTACCCAACTACCCAGGGCTAACGAAGTCATGAATCTTAGAGGAGAACCTATTATCTGCCACTTCACTAAGCCAGAATGGTTCCTAAGTGCGTTCTAAATACTTATCCTTAGACCCACAGATGGATGTAGCTCTCACACCTCATCAAAGAAACTACCCTTCACAACAACTACTGCTTGCATGTCTGTAATTGTCGCTAGTAAATTCAGTAGTATCTGTGTATGTATTACTCCATGTTTACAATTTCCACACTAGCTTCCAAGGAAGAAGCATGTGCCTCTAGTAACTATTTTCTTTCTGTATTCCTTACAGAATAGTGCTGAACATTTGGGATACCAATCAGGATTAGTCACATGAATGAATAAATAAAATGAAGAGATAAATAGATGATAGATACAGAGATGATTAGGTATATTATAGATATAACATATACAGAGATAAATGATAGATGATAGATATATAGATAGATGATAGATAGATAGATAGATAGATAGATAGATAGATAGATAGATAGATAGATTTAAACCTCTCATTTATTATTGACAGGGTTTAAAATTTTCCCAGATTCAGTAAGTTTTATAATGAACATATAAATATTATTGTTGCAGATAAACTGTTTTATTATAATTTTCTTTATGAGTTTCTGGAAGGCAGGAACAGTGAGCAGAAATTTTAAACAATCCAGTGAATCAGATTTTAACAAGATCATTTGTTGACAAGGGAAGTAAGAGAGCAATGACAGCGCCAGAAGCCAATGGTCTTATGCTGCGATCATCCTGTCCCCCTCAATAAACACTGCAGTGGCTGCTCTTCTTAGCACACGTGCCACTGTGTAGAAAATCAAGCATCTCTCTTATTACTGCGGCATTTCTTCTGCTTCGCTCTTAAGCATCTAATCGTAATTCACTATTGCTGGCATTTGCCCAGCAGTGCGTTAGCACACGGTCTTCTTACCATTAAATAAAATATTAAAATCCAAGTCTCTCTTAACAATATGTTTCTCCCCTGCACCCCTTTTTTTCACCATCTGTGGCCCTTTTTCTAGTCTTCTCCAGAGAGCTGTTCCCAAATGTGTGATCTTCACTTTTAGACTTCCATTCCCTGGATTTTCCTTCTGTTCATTTTTGTCCCAGCTGGACTCCTGAAGAGCACATGTTATCTTAAATGACTTCCTTCCTGGTTAGCATGGCAGCTGCCCATTTGCCTTTAGCATGTTATTCAATAGCTGTCTTCCCCATTAAGAAGTTACAAGCAAGTGAATAACGTGTAATTAATAAAAATAAAATAAAATAAAGAAGTTACAAACACTTCCAAACTCCTAAGAATAAAGATGAATATCTTATAAACGTTTCATATAAAAATATTTTCTAATACCATTTTAAAATATCATATTTAATTTTACTACTGATTAATTTCAAATAACGGAGTAATAGGTTATAGCATTTAGCATTTAAATAGATAGAAATAATCAATAATTGGAAATATCTGCTTGTTCAGTCATTTCTGAGTGTCAATGTAGCCATATGTTTTTAAGTGTTCTAGAGTTCATATGCTCTGACCCAGGGCCCTGCCTCACTGGATTTTTGTCTTCTTAGATTTCAAATCCTTTGACCCAGGGACCCTCATGATGGGTTTCTGTATTGAGCCATTGGAAAAATTGCACAGATGAGCATACAGGAAGCAAATCTCAGCATACTATGTGGCCCAGATTATTTGAACAAGCAGATTCAGCTTAATCAACTCATAGTAGGTGATTAAATACATTTTACCCTATGCAGCCACAGAAAAAGATAACAATAATCTACATTTAACATCATGAAGAGATATTCATGAATTTTGTCAAATTCATCTAATTCTTTAGATATAAAACAATTCTAATCTTTACAAACATGTATCATGCACAAAAGTATTTTAATAATTATATGCTGACTGTATGGTTATCTGTAAAAGGTGACTTCTATTTTATTCGTTCTGTGTTTCCTTTTTATTTATTTACTTATTTATTGCTCATACATTTGTGTGGGTGTGAATGTGCATGATGCATGCTTACATGTGTGTGGGTATACATGTAGTCAAAGTTAATGGATGGCTTCCTCAAACACTACACTTTATTGGCCGAGGCGGGGTCTCCCACTAAATCAGGACCCTGTCCCAGTTTGCTCTGAGAGTCTCCTGTCTCTGTCTTCTGGGAGCTTGGATCACAGATATATCAAAGCACCATATCTGCTTGCTGCTCCTGTGGGTGCTGAGATCTGAGCTTCAGTTCTCATGCTCATATGGAAAGTGCTTTATCCCCTGAGACATAGCCCTAGCCCTAGCCCCTCTAACTCTGTAATAGCTGCACACTTTATTGTGTTGTGGAAACAACCACCTAAAGCTATGAGTTGAAGCATCTTCCTCCTTAAGGTGACATTGAGGGGACAGTTAGGTTCATGTTCAAGTCAGAGGGGCCAAAAATTTTCTTTCAATTGGGAGTTCTTCTAATTAATAGATTTTCAACTGGATAAGACTTGCCAAACCTCTTTGCTAATTAAAAGGCTGTTAAAGAATCCAGATCAGATCAAAGCCCCTGTGTTTCCAGGACGCTTCAGTGAGCATCCTTCTACCATCATCATTTATTCACTGCTGTAAGTGGCCCAATGGAAAAACATTCTGCTTATCTCTATGGTTTTTCTAAACATTGCCTGTTCTCTATGAATTACGTTTTAAAAATCTGTTGTTTTTATTTGTTTCATAAATTGATATTTTTAAATTCCCAGCTTCTTTGGAACAAATCAAATTTGGTAAAGAAATAAAAAACTCTCTTACTTCCATTTTAATTGTTGATATAATTTCTTCGCTTACTCTTTATTGCTCACTCCACCTCTTCACCTGAGGGCACCTGTCCTCCTTGCAGTAACATAGTACTCCTAAGAAGTAATAGCCACATATGTAGCTTCACTCTAGGAGCAAATCATTGCTCTAATAATCACTAGCTCTATGGCTTTGAGGAAGTTACTCAGCCTCTCTGAAGTTAAGTTTCCTGATCTACAATCTGCAAACTGCACCCACCTTATATGATCAGGAGAATTAACGGAAGTACTGGTGTTTGTCAGTTACCACCTGTACGTGGCAGTGATGATGCCAGTGATAGCTCTAACTATTTTAGGGAATTCATCTTCCTAATCAAGAATGTACATTTCATCATACCGATACTCCACTTGCATTAATCATATTATCACTTAGAAGCAGTGGCTGGAGCAAAGACATTGGTTGAGGTCAGAAGAAAGGGGTGTCAGTTAGGGACTACCTCCCTGTGAGCACCTTCCGTAAGGCGCCCTGCACGTCGGGGTTCCGAAGGCTGTAGATGAGTGGGTTCAGCATGGGACTGATGACTGTGTTGAGGATCCCAATGCCCTTGTCCTTGTCTGAAGCCTCCACTGACCCCAACCTCATGTAGCTGAAGACACCTGTCCCGTAGAAGATGCCTACCACAGTGAGGTGTGAGCTGCATGTGGAGAAGGCTTTCTTCCTGCCCTCAGCAGAGCGGATTCGCAGAACTGCAGCTGCCACGTGGCCATACGACAAGGTGATGAGGACCAAGGGGGCCACACCCATGAAGGCTGCTGCTACAAAGAGCAGCCGCTCATTGAGCTGGATGCTGGAGCAGGAGAGCTGGAAGAGCTGAGGGAGGTCACAGTAGAAGTGGTTGATCACGTTGGGGCCACAGAATTTAAGAGTTGACAAGGCAACAGTTTGGGTCAATGCATTGCTAAAGGAAAAGACACATGACAAGCACACTGACACCTTCTGAATCCTCCAGCTCATATGGGTGCTATAGGTGAGGGGGTGGCAGATGGCCAGATAGCGGTCATATGCCATGACAGTCAGCAGGAAACAGTCTGCCCCAGCCAGGAGGTGGAAGAAGAAGAGCTGTGAGAGGCAGGCCCCATAGGGAACGTGTCTGTCACTGAATAGGAAACGCTTCAGCATGGCAGGAACAGTGACACTGATGCATCCAACATCCAGCATGGACAAGTTCCCCAAGAAGAAGTACATGGGGGTGTGCAGTTTGGGTTCAATAACGATGGCAGCCAGGATGCCGAAATTGCCACCAAGAGTAACTACATAAGCAAGAAGGAAGATGACAAAGAGGACAGGCTGCAGAGCTGGCATCTCTGTGAGACCCAACAGAACAAACGTGGTCACACAGGAATTGTTTCCCGAGGCCCCAAGATCCATGACTCTCTTCCAGCAGTCACCAGCCGAATGAAGTTCAAAGGTGATACATCGTGGAAATAAATGTCAAGCACTGTGATTGTCCAGGTGCAGCTGGGAGGCAAGGGCAAACACAACGGCAAACACAAGAGTTAAAGACTGAAACACAATAGATGAAGGTGTAATGCACCCAACACTTACTGACCAAAAGCTATGACATCAGGCGGACTCAGAGACACACAAACATTGAGAAAACAAGGAGGAAGGATGTGATATTTGAAAGTTAGAGGGAAATACTATTTGTCTGGGGCCAAAATTCTAGAAAGGAAACCACAGTCTTCAGGTGGTGACCTGGACAGTTTAGGTACACCAGATGCTGAAGCATGAAAGGGAAGCTTCCAGAGAAGAGGTGGCATGGTCCTCTTTCCACACTTGTGCTGCACATATCCCCAATGATCCCCAGTATGATAGGGGAATTGGTTCCATAGTTTCTCAGCAACCAAAATCTAAGGGTGTTCACGACTCTTATATAAGACGGAATTACATTTACATATAGCCCATGCACATTCTCCCACATGTTCTAAGTCATTTCCAAATGACATATGATACCTTACCCTGGGTCCATGCCACCTTATATTGTATCGGGGATGTTGATAGGGGAGGTACCTGTACTTATCAGAACAGACATAATTTTTCCACATACTTTTGATCCATGGCTGAAGCTACAAATAGGAAACTGGCAGGCAGATGGCCAGTTAAAGGATGTTAGTAATAAAATGGTCACTGTGACCAGACTATTATAAACTGAGTTGCAAAGCCATGAGAAGTAATCCAGACCTTCCAGAGAAAAGTAAAACTGCCGTGAAAGGCAGTAACACTCCATGAGGACACATTCCAGAGTGACATTCCATGTGGACACATCACTGAACATATTTGCAGCTCTAGAACTGATAATAAGCAGCTTTAGGCTTTCTAATCCTTAAGATTATATATTAAATTTATCCACAGTGTCCAGGAAAACTGGACACCAAAGTGCTCATACTTTTCTAAGAACAATATGGGAAAGCTTTGAGTAAGGTGAGAATTATAAGACTTGGTGCCTGGGTGAGCTGAGAAGTTGTGCAACTGAATGACACACATCTGAAGACTCTCACAACTGGAGTTTTGAGAAGAGTATAAGCAGACACTCCCATTTTATCTAACCTGCAGCTATCATGAGGCCACAGCCCGCTAGAGAGCCACAGATGATTTCCCACACATATGGTCACTTACATGGTGCCCCTGAGCCTCACAAGGTCACACAGTGAGCTGCCTCATTGAAGTGAAGATAATCATCACTCCAGACTCACATAGAGGAAGGCGGGAGCTGGAGTTCCTCAAAAACAAGCAGCATGAGCAGAGGATGCTGTGAAGTGAACAAGACCCTCAGGTCCCAGTAGGCCAACCACTATCAGCGGTGCTGGCGTTTTTCTGCATGAGCTTGATCAGATCGCTACATCCAACTCAGTATCCCTAAAGCTCAGATGCCCGTCATTCCTCCCAGTCAACTACTGGCTGTACTGTTTGCAGAACAGCCTGGCTATCCCAGCAGCTACTGCCTCCTGCACACTTTACCCCATTTCAGCCAAGTACCTGAGCCTCCCATGGCCACTTTGGGAGACAGAGATGCCATACCAAAGCCCAAGAGTGAAATCACTTGTGTGAAAGCCCAGTTGTGTGCATGCAGTGAGGGCTCTTGAATGACACTCACCCAGTGAAAGGGACAGGCACTCCATGGACAGAGAGGAGGCCAAATAGTCTCCACTGCTGGGAGTTTATCAAAGATATAACAGTGACAAACATTATCTTCCCAGTGGACTTGCTCCTCTACCATTTTCTCCCTGTGGAGGTGTCTGAAATTACAACATTCCAGGGGGAGCCAGGGCAGGGTGAATACCTGCCTTCCCAAGACACGAGAATCTCCCAATCTCTGAAAATCCTTTAAACTTTCTCCATGTTTCAAGTATGACCTTCACGGGTGTGACCAAGCTCAAGCCTTTATTTAGCAAATGTGTTTATAAACCAGCATTCTTGTTACTAGCATTTGCCAATTGAGATGGCTCTTAGAATGTCTTTACAGCATGTTTAATTAAACATACTAACGGAGCTTTGGTGTGATATTCCCAGCGTGCACTAATCAAATTCTGCCTTACTGCACACACACACACAGCACACAAACACATAAACACATGCTCATACAAACATACACACTCATACGTACTTGCATATCCAATCTCTAGTAATCACCATTCAACCTTAGGAACATTTTTAACTTTTCTGTATAAGAGAGTGTGTGCTTATCTCACTTAATGTCTTCTAGTTTCACCCATGTTTCTACAAGAGACAGAATTTTTTCTTTGTGACTAAGTGGTATTTCATTGTGCATCTGTACCACACTTTCACAAGTCTTACAGTTTAGAAAGTCACAGTGTTGGGCATACAGTTAATATTTGGGATACTGTTAGGGTTTGTTCTGATGCTGGCCCTCAAGATCTATAAATGTGCCTAAGACATTATACCTGATTGGTTGATTAAAGGCCTATACCTGGGCAGGGCAGAATGAGGTAGGCGTGGCTAAGGTTCTTGGGCTTTACAGTACAGGAGAATCACAGGAGACAGATGGACTAGAAGAGAAGAGGAAAGAGGATGCCATGATGGGTTAACCTGAAGCAGGAATCGCATGGGCCTGGAGAAAGGACTCCAATAAGGGTATGAAAAGGACCAGATGAAGAATAAAAGCAAGTGTTTATAAGATTATGAATGGAAGGCAGCTCAAATGAGGATAGTGTTGGATGGAAGCTGAGAGGTGAATGGTGAGGTAGAAATATTTGCACCACCCAAGGTAATAAAGTTATATTAAAATCTAACAGGTGTCTGTGTCTTATTATTTGTGATAGTAGTCTAAATAATACCACCATAATAATTATAGGGCTAATAATAACATTATATAGCCCAACACCTTCTTTTTTATTTGCTACAACAAGGTACAGCCTAGCTACCAGAAAATCCTGACTTCAAATGTTTCCCATTTTCATATCTTCAACACCATGAAAGCAGAGAAAGTTTGAAAGCATCTTCTTGACCAGGAACACCCTACTTTTACTAACTTCTGAAGGATGCTTTTGGCATCAAACACAATTTCTAACCGTTCTGTGTTCCTTTATAAAGCTTTCCTACTGGCTTAAAGCTGTCACGGGCTAAGAAGGCGCCAACAGAAGGTGAAGATGAGTTGAAATTCCTGTTGGCATCTATCCATGGATGAGAACCTTTAAAAGACCAACAAGAGCCCATCACTTTACCGTCTTTTTTTTTTGGTGTAACAAAAGCTGTGTCTGTTCCCTGGAATGCATTTCTCATAGCTGTTAACCCAGGACACTTCATCATTAAAGACCAATTGCAGGTCTTTTCTCTCCCAACAAATGACCCACAGATCCCTGTGGCTGAGCTAGGTTCACCTCCTCTCCACGGCAATAACAATTTTAAACTTTTCCTCTCTGTTCTAACCAGTGGTCTCCTTACTCCAGTACTCACTTCAGCACCTAGTTGATTATTATATATTTCTGCTTGAATGTCACACAGGAGCCTCAAGAGTTACAGGGTATGATTTCCCCTTTGAGAGAGAGTCTTGAATGACTTACACTGATAAAAACTACAAGTAAATAAACATTCCCTGCCAAAAAAACAAAGCAAACAAAAAACATTAACTGAGTTCAACCATTTGAACTACTGTTTCTTTTTTATTTACATTTTTAATTTATTCACTTCACATCCCAACTGTAGCCCCTCCCTTGTCTCGTTCTGGTCTCACTCTCCCTTCCTCCTCCCCCCTAGTCCTAAGAAAGAGGGAGTCCCTCCCCTACCAACTGACCCCAGCCTACTGAGTCTCATCAAGACTGGCTACATCCTCTTCTTTTGTAGCCTGCAAGGCCTCCCTGTCAGGGGAAAGTGATCAAGAAGCAGGCAACAGAGTCCATGTCAGAGACAGCTCCTGGTCCCTTACTAGGGCACCCACTTGGAGACTGAGCTTCCTATCAGCTACATCTGAGCAGAGGTCCTAGGTCTCCTCCATGCATGGTCCTTGGCTGGTGTATCAGTCTTCACAGAACCTCCTGGAGCCAGAATTGTTGGCTCTGTTGGTCTTCTTCTGGAGCTTCTGGCCACTCTGGGTCCTTCAGTCCTCCTACTCTTCCATAAGACTCCTTGTGCTCTGCCTAAAGTTTGGCTGTGAGTCTCAGCATCTGCTTTAATCCTCTGCTGGGTGGACTATTTCAAAGGACATCTAGGGTAAGTTCCTGTCCTGTTCCCTCTCTTCAATGGCTGCCAGTGTCTATTCTATTTGCCCTTCTAAATGAGAATTAAGCATCCCCCTAGGGTGCCCCTTGTTACTTAGCTTCTTTAGGTCCGTGGATTATAGTATGGTTATTCTGTATTATATGAATAATATCTGCTTGCAAGTGAGTATATACCATGCTTGTCTTTCTGGGTCTTGGTTACCTCACTCAGGATGATCTTTTCAGTATCCATCCATTTTTAATGCAAATTGCATGAAGTCCTTTTTGTTAATAGCTGAGTAGTATTCCATGGTGTAAATGTACTACAGTTTCTTTATCCATTCTGTTGAGGGACATCTGGGCTGTTTCCAGTTTCTTGCTATTATGAATAAACCTGCTATGAAAAATAGTTGAGCAAGTATCCTTCTTGCATGGTAGAGAATATTTTGGGTATATGCCCAGGAGTGGTATAGCTGAGTCTTAAGGTAGAGCTGTTCTCAATTTTCTGAGAAAGTACCAGATTGATTTTTAAAGTGGTTGTATAAGTTTGCACTCCTACCAGAAATGGAGGAGGGTTCCCCTTTCTCTACAACCTCTCCAGCATGTGCTGTCACTTGAGATTTTGATCTTAGCCATTCTGACTGGTGTGAAATGAAATCTCAGAGTCATTTTATTTGCATTTCCCTGATGACTAAGGACATTGGGCATTTCTTT